CATGGCCTTGGTTCATATCTTATTCGGAGCTTTCGTTCCGGATCCACGTTTTTACTTTATGTCAATTAATAATGATTTGCACCGGCCACTGAGGAGGATCTTGTGTGTGTGTGTGCGCTATCCTCAGCTTCACCTGGGTTCTTATCTCAACCTGCTTTGCAGCTTCTCGTAACTGGCACGGAGAATGTTCTTCACATGTGTATAAAAACTCAGCGTTTTCACTGCTCGGGGACGTCATTACGCCGAGCGCTGAGATACGTGTTGGTGTATTTGACCTCCTGCCTATAGGCAATAGTTAGAGCCAGATATCTGCGGAGAATTGCTCATGTAATCTTTTTCTCTTCTAAATAAATGTTAACTTTTTGACTTTAATTGATCAACGTGCTGCGATTCTTCTCATCAACCAACTCGGGGGGATCGGAGATCCTGACACTACCCGAAGTCCCATAGTTTCACCAGTGAGGCTACCAGGTATTCATGAGCGTAGAAGGGTTAGGGTAAAATGGGGCATGCAGTGTATAACTTCTCCTGTGTATAAAATTGTCATTTCCAGATGGTGTACAATACAGTAAATGTGAGGTATGTAAAAGAACAGGAGGTAAATCCAGGAAGTAATATGCTAGCCAAGTACTTTTCTGCACCAAAACCAGCAGCATTTTCTGATCATAGTCAACAGTGGTGCTACTGCCGTGAGCCAGAAGCAGAGAACAAGTTGGTCTGTGCATCAGAGTTTTGTTCAGTTAAAAGGTTTCACCAAACCTGCCTTCGCATGAAAAGGGTCCCAAAACAGTGGGTATGTACCAGCTGCCGAAAAGTAATCAATGCCCAAAAAAAGAAAAGAAAACCTCAGTGAGGAGACTGAAATGAGTAAATAGTAGTAGCTGATACTGTACTCTTATTTATGAATAAACAGTTGTTAAACCAATGTTGTCTTGCAAGGACAAGTTCATTCTAAGCTTCATTAAAGTTAACATGTACTGCTGAAAACATGTCAAAACAGATTTAAGTTTGAGAAAAGGAGCCACAATATGAAAAATTGTCATGAGAATTGAATAAGTTGATAAACCAGTGAGAGTATAACCCTTTTATCATCGTTATGCAAGCTCATCTCATTCAGTGTAGTCCTATTATTTTTTTGCTTTAACAACATTTTTTCAGTCCTCAGAGCTTGGCATTCTTGCTCAAGAGATTGGACGTGTTTACCACAGGTTTCAGTGCTGCATGGTGGAGTTGCTGGATCATCATGGAGAACAGGCTAGACATCATTTCCAGGTTCTTCATGGGTAGATTCCTTCAAAGACTGGGAGTTTGGTCTGCAGTAGGATCCTCCTTGTTGCTGTCTTGGGGACAATCGGCTGATGCTCCGGTGAAAACACAAAATTAGTAGATTAGAGTATATGTATACACAACTGATAACAGTTTGTCATTTCTTTTGTCAATCACTCTGTTTTCTGCAGTGTATACTAGCTTTCATTAGTAAGTAAATTGTATTTGTATAGCACATTTACATCATTAGATAGATAGATAGATATTGACAGTGACAATCACATGCATAGTCAGTGGCTGCCAAATGTAAGTTGTAAGAGGTGTGTGATGATTTCAAACCAGTCACGTTATATTTTTGTCACATTGGGTGTTATTAAACCTACAATGAATTGTGCAAAAACCCTTTTGGTTTATAACTTTAAAGTCCTTGGAAGTGGGGTTGAACAGGTTAAGAAACTTTGATATATACCTGGGACGGATGGCTTTCACAGATAGCTTTGTCTGCTCTATCTTCTGTAGCTTTGCTTTCTGTCGTCTGTTGAAAACTTCCAGTCTCAATTTTCTTTTTCCTCTTCTCTGGAGATGGAACGTAGTTGAAAATAGATGGAACAAAGTCCGGACTCAAGGGATTATCACTCTTTCTCCCTACAAAATAAATAGAAACATTTCAGTATCGAACTGGGTTTTGTTTACTACGGTAACACTTAACGTTACTAGCTTACGAAATATGTCATTGTTAGCCCCACGAGTTGCATGCTACAATTCAACTAGCTAGTATTAAACTGATCAGAAACCACAATTATAGCCTATTAAATAATGAAGATACTTATGTTAGTAAGCTTTGTATTCGGTAACTTACCTGATATGAAGTGATCGGTGCACAAGCAGAATCCAACGGCGGGTGGGTCCCATCTTTCAGTCTTGTTTTGCTTGCTCCTGGCTCTTTTAATGGCGCTGATCCACTTAGCTCGCCTCTCCGCATTTTTAGGAACGCGGTAAAACGACGTACCTTTATTTTTCCCTCGTTTCTTTGTGCAACCTGGTGCACAACAGTTATCGACCATGTTTAGCTGCCTTCACGACAACAGTCTGCCAATCTCCCGAATACTGCCAAAATGGCGGTGCCTACAGTTTCCTGTTTGGTAACAATGTCATCCCCCGGATCTCAATTGGAGCAGGGCTTAGTCCGAACAGAGGGTGAATGAGCGTCCCAGGAGGTAGTAGCGCAGGGACTCGACCGCCCACCGGAGGGCCAGGAATTCCTTTTCCACGTGTTGTACCTGGCCTCCCTCTCGGATAGCTTCCGGCTAATGTACACCACGGGGCGGTCAACCCCCTTCCATCCTGGGACAAAACGGCTCCCAGCCCCCTGCTCGATACGTCAGTCTGCAGAATAAAGGGAAGAGAAAAGTTAGGGGTGTGGAGGAGTGGTTCCCCACAGAGACCTTGTTTTACCTTCTCAAATGCCTGCCGGTATTGCTCCGACCACTGGACCGGATGTGACGCACCTTTCCGGGTCAGGTCTGCCAAGGGGCTGGTGAGGCAAGAGCTGCCGTCTTGTCCACCTGAGGGCGCACCTGCCCGCCCCCAAAGTGGTACCCCAAATACCGTACCTCCATCCATCAAACTGCACACTTCCCCGGGTTGGTGGTGAGCCCAGCCTGTCTCAGTGACTCCAGCACTGCGCCCACCCGCCACACATGCGCCGTGCGGACGCAGCACCCGATCCATGAGACGTTGGAACGTGGCTGGGGCACCAAACAAGCCAAAGGGAAGCATGGTAAATTGGTAGAACCCATACGAAGTGGAGAAAGCCGTTTTTTGCTTAAAGCAAATCTTAATACAACTTCAGTATTATGGAAGAGTCCGAATGATGGAGACCACTGATTCAGACCACCCAACAGCTGCCTGGAAGACCACAGAGCCCCTTGTTCACAAGGAAATGCTTTGATTTCAGATCCAGAAAAGGCCTTCATTTCCTGCCTTAATGTGTTTTGCACCTTTGTGGTTGTATACCTTGTCTCTGATTGAATCTTCCTGTGTTTGATCCCTTGCACCTCCTCAGTGTATTTGAACTATGTGTGTCCCGTGTCTCAATATAAGGTTTGTCCATTATGTGTATTAGTGTTCTGCTATGCTCCGTATATGACCTGTGGAATTTTATGGACTGATCTGCCCTCCACACGTTTACGAAATAATTTCCGTCTATACGAACTGGGCTGAAAAAGAATATCACATGACTATTCACGTACACTGGGAATGCGGGTTTTGGTGACTGAAAATGTGTGTTATAGTACTTTTGAATAATAAAAGGTTGCGCTCGATAGTCTTCCTCTGAAGTTATTTGTCAAAGGTAATTCTCCTTCTCACACAAAAATCAAATGAGCACATTCAAAGTTAACTAGATCATGGATTTATAAATTAAATTATTTCTTCTTTGTTTCGGGTGTTCGTTTCTCCCTCTTGTAGCTCTGCCAGATGGCTCAATTCTCTGTCGTACTGGAGCACATTTGGGCTAGTTTTCATTTATAGTTTCTGTGTGGACTTCACAATAGTGCAGAACGAAATAAGCTTTTGTAAAAAGGAAAGTCCTTCATTTTGTGTTCGTTGTTGTTTCTGTGTGAAGCCTGCCTGGCTATTGTCAACAAACAGCATGCTTTTAGTTCATGTTAGCGTGTCCTAATGGATGCTGCTCTGCACTTTACTCATATGGTGGTTACAGCAAATAACCTCCATTGTTGTTCCAGCCAATAGCATTGCAATCCCCAATAACGTAGCAACCGCCTGAGTTTGGCATCTGAGAGGTTCCCCCTCAGATGCCAAACACTGTTTACGGAGTCCCCACTGTTGCCTTTGATTGCACTGTTTAAGCTGTTAGCACTGTAAGGTCTGAGCTGCTGACCCAATTATGAGATGATGTGCTGGGTTTTGTATTGAGCACCTTTATTTTTGTTTCTTGTTGTTATTTTGTTGTTACAACAAGATACAATTCATGGAGATCAAAACTACTTATTTAATGTGAAATGATTGTGTGTAAAATGTGGCTTTGTAGTTTTGTGACTGTGTATGTGTGTGCTTAAGTGGTTACATAAGCCCAAACATCAAGCTGCTCACAACCAATTATTTTATTTTTAATTTTATTCATTGTACAATATATTTCATTTATCATCTTATAGATGAGTGGCTGCAACATCTGAATTCAAGATCCATAATGGAATATCATTCAATCAATAATGTCCAGCTATGAATTGTAGAATTTAATCATGTTCAGTTACGAATGAATGATGACAGAGATAGATCATTCATAGGGCTTTGCTGTCGTCCAAATAGGAGAACGACCTTGACATTTATCATTTTCATTTATCACTGAACAAGTAGTCAAGAGTGATGGTCTGTATTTTAGTGATGGTATTGGGGAAGATAGTAAATTCGTCCTACAGAATTTGTATTTAAATACAATGCAGACAACGGCGCTACATTTTGTATCAGTGACATTATACATGCTGTCTATTTGCAATATCACGTCTTAAAGTCATTTATTTATGAGTGTCATTTGCATACTGATAGGTTTGTTTGTTGTTGTCCGTGTTCATTTACCACTGATACCAAGCTAATATAGTCTTATATTAGTATTTAGTATATTAGTATTACTATTTATGTCTCCCTCCAACACATCGACGCATTTGTCTTCCTCCAGCTTTCTATGTGCATCTTCTCTGGATTTTCAAAGCTTCACAGGCATATTATGGGGATTGCATAAAAAGGGAGTTTGAATGATCAAAGAATTTGGAGAAAATGTGTGATTTTACATATTTGACCATGTCTATAAGACAATGTCACGTGAGTTAATGTTTGATATTCTCCTCCTCAATGTGTTCACTCCCATGGACGGCGAGCTTTCAACTCGGGTTACTCTGCCGAGAGAATATCAATGGAGAATAATACTTAATACTAAATTCTGGGTGATATAAATTAACGGAGTATTTCACAAGAAAAAATAAATGTAAATAAAGTAGCACAACCGTAGCAAACGACTTGGCTTCGGCGGGAAATGACACATTGATGAGAGTCTTTGGGAACATGCTGGTGACTCATACGGTATCTCGGATCCGTCTGGTCCCTCCGCCATCAGGTAGACACGAGCCACTTCATTCTCGGAACCACCGCCTCGGACCGTATGGAGACCAAGTCCCGCGCCATGCGCGTATCTCCGCGTCCTGGGACGGATCCAGCAGGAACTCCGATCAACAAACACTACCTCAGCCTTTACGGGGACTAAAAACATGCGAAACCTTTGTCGGGGTGTCTTCAGTTGGTGCCCACAAACCCAAACAGGGAACTCCCTCGACGTGTGCAGGCTGTTCCTCCGCGGAGCACACACGCCTTCAGCATCCGCGAACATGTCTTCGGCTCTGCCTTCTTCCAAAGCGCTCTACATCGGGATGGAGGTGGTGATCGCCGTGTCGTCGGTCATCGGTAACGTGATGGTGGTTTGGGCTGTGCGGATTAACCGCTCTCTCAGAGACACCACGTTTTGTTTCATCGTCTCCCTGGCCTTGGCTGACATTGCGGTCGGGGCTCTTGTCATCCCCCTCGCCATAACCATCAGCATCGGACTTCAGACGCACTTTTACAGCTGCCTGCTGGTCGCCTGCACTGTGCTTGTCCTCACACAAAGTTCAATCCTGGCGCTTCTGGCCATCGCCATCGACCGTTATCTGAGAGTCAAAATACCCATGAGGTAGGCCTAAAGGTGACTTCTTCTACTCCCCAATATTTGGTCTCTTTCACAGAAGCCTTTGTGTCTGAACTGCTGCTCGGACCGAGGACACCCACTGGAGCAGCCGTGCAGGATTTTAATTTCAGCTCCAACCAGAAATAGACAGTAATATGTAGAGTGAGGGTGTAATCAGCTGTAATAATTCACAGTAACCATAAAGTAGGGCTATATTAATGTTGATTTGACATATCTTTTATATCTAAACGGGAAACACTTTATCTTATCTTATGCTAAGTTGTTTTTTATATGATTAAATATGATATGATATGATGGTTGATGGTTATTAATTCATTATTGATTCCTGTTTTCATTGTCAACTCCTTAAGTGGCATATCTCCAACATATTCTATCCCAAATTTAAGTTGTAAACAGGAACAAAAGCAATGCACCTTATATTAACTGCCCTCTCAAAAACATACAGGTAACATAAGAAAATCGTTTTTGTATTTATTTGTTTATTTGTTTGTTAAACCCCACCCCCTCTAAAAGTATTTGGCTTTGTTTTTACATTTTTTAAATCTTAATATATAAATATATATTAACCCTGCAACGTATTTGTATCAAACAAGAGGTGGAGGAATAGAGAGATATGCTACTGTACAGTATGTGGCGCAAAAGATGTTGAATTTCACATCTGTGGAGGCCAGCTGATCTTGAGTGTGAGCTAAAAATGAACAATAAGCACCTCTTCCTTTAAAACATTTGATATGTTTGGTTTATAACTAGCTTAGCGGTAGACTATATATCTGTTGAATGGTGACAGATAAAAAGTATATTTTACCAGTTAGAAGTCTCCTCTTGCCTTACCCAGAATTTCCCTGAGAACTCAAATTTCAAGTTGGCTAATTGGGTCTGGCATATAATGCATGATTGGTCAATAGGCTCATAGCTGCTTGCTGATGGATTGCATAATTTCTAAAACTGGCAACCTAGGCTCACAAATAAAAATGCAAAAACACACTGCACACACTGCACTGTTACTCAGCTGACATAGCAGACTGACAATGGACAGGGATGACAAATATAATTGACGGTTATTTATCATTGCACTGCAGTTTTTTTCCCCAAAGTACTGGATGTAACTCTGGCATGTAAAAAATGACTGTATTGTATCACACATATTAGTTGAAATCCCATTATGGCATAATTTTATAGCAGAGGTGGTTTGGAAGCACACCGTCGTGATATGGATGGTGTGATTTCAAAATACAAAAGTATTACTAGTGCGCTTAGCTGGAAGATGTGATTTAGCAAGTGAAAATCCCTTAGGATGGTTGAGATGGAGAAGGAGGACGGTCAAACAACCTTTGAGTATAGAATAAGCTCCTGAGTTGATTTAGGCCGGTTTCCAGATTGAGTCAGCACCCTCTTTTGAAATAAAGGTTGAACTGCATAAGTCATCAGTCCAGTCTAGTAAATAAATCTCAAACGACTAATTCATTCAATTCATCTCTCTAAGAGCAGACTATTGTGTGGGAGAGACAGGGTGAGCGACAAGAACTGCACACCGTTTTGTTAGGCATAACAACTCCCACAGTCTCCTGAACAGCTGAGATGTCTTGTATCTGCTTGATGTTAGCGGTCTTCCTAAGAAAACAGCAGGGATTCTCAGAGAAAGAAGATCAAAGGGAAACCATGTCACCTGCCACCACAGGGCAGGAGAAAAAAAAACGTTTAATATAGTACGAATACAAGTAGTATTTTGCTCAGTGAAGGAAGCCGTACTATGATGTATTGCTTATGTATTGGTCGATTTTAAGAAAAAAATATACTCTTAACCGCAAGCCTGATAAGCGGTTTGACAATGGATGGATGGATGGAAATTTGAACAGGTTTTCACATTTCATTTGATTATGCTCTTGTCTTAATTTTTTCATGCCATCTTTGCTTGGTCACCCTTGGATTGTTGATCTTACCAGATCTTAGACCGATAAACAAGGGTGACCCCCTCCCTCCCCCCCAAAAAACCCTTCCAATTATTAGCTTAACAAAGGTAATATTTTTTGTAAAAATTTTGCAGTGATTTACGGTACATGTTGTTTGGGGCAAAATGAAAAGCAAGACCTTCTCCCTTGTCCCTCCATAGCTACAAGCGGTTGGTGACTCCCCGACGAGCTGGCACGGCCGTATTATTGTGTTGGCTGGTGTCCATCATAGTTGGGCTCACGCCCATGTTGGGTTGGAATAACCTACAGCTTCTCCGTGACAATGAATCCCTGCTCAGTGATGACCTCTTGGTAACCTGTGAGTTTGAGACCGTCATCAGCATGGACTACATGGTCTACTTCAACTTCTTTGGCTGGGTGCTGCCCCCTCTGCTCCTCATGCTGGCCATCTATGTGGAGATTTTCTACATGATCCACAAGCAGCTCAACAAGAAGGTGAGGTGATCATGTTCTCTCTAATGAGACTAAACATAGATGTATATGCTGACGATCTTCTCCTCTATTGCTTTATAGGTGTCGGCCAGCCACACAGACCCCAGCCGTTACTATGGCAAGGAGCTGAAGTTAGCCAAGTCGCTCGCCCTTGTTCTTTTCCTCTTTGCGGTGAGCTGGCTCCCTCTCCACATCCTCAACTGCATCACCCTCTTTTGCCCTGCTTGTGATAAGCCAATGTTCCTCATTTACATCGCCATCATCCTCACCCACGGAAACTCGGCCGTCAACCCCATCGTGTACGCCTTCCGCATAAAGAAATTCCGCACTGCGTTCCGGAAAATATGGAAACAGTATGTGCTTTGTCAGGATCCAGTCGGTCGGCTCCCTCAAAGAGGGAGCCAGAGAGGACAGAGTCATGAGACGAGGCTGAACCAGAACGATGATGATGATGATGTGTGACCATTGGCAGCTAATTCGATCTCTGAAGTTTCACTGCACTGGTTCACAGAATGGACAAGACTTGAGGGGTTACTGTTCAAAACGGTCCTAATGGCATCACAAGACTTCAGAGGAATGAAAGCGATGAGGGAACTCCTTCTTTGGCAAATTTATTCCGTCCAACACACTCTGAGAGGACATGATGATAAATCGGCATGGAGACCAGATAAATATCTTAAATCAGACTTTGATTTGAACAACACTGATTATTTATTTCTACACGCATTGACAAAATGAAGATGATTTTGAATTACATTAGGGGCTTTTCATCAGTTTCAACATCAACCTGTTGAACTTGAATCAGTAAGTGTATTTTTGTAGCACATCCGGTACAAAGAGTACTAGAAGTAGTGTATGCTGAATTGTATTTCTTATCTGAATTTTAATTAAAACTCATTTACATATATGAATGGCCATGCATCGTATTGTCTGCTATTTACATGCTTATTTCTGTGGCCTCTAGGCTAGAAAATGAATGAAGAGGAACTATTGTTTAATCAGTGTTAATCGACTTGTTAACGACTTGTGGGCAAGCAGTACTTTCATTATGGTGGCTGCAAGATACAGCCAATAAGCTTTGTTTAATCAAGGTGATTGTCATTTAAACAGTATAATGTACCTCTACTGTACATATATCTTCAGGTCCCAATTCCCTGTGATGAAGTAAGTATACCAATGTAGAATCATTCCTCTTAAAACACTGACCAGAGTTGGCCTTTAAAATGAGTGAGATTCGATTTTGGAAATACTGGCACTTGTAATGTGTGTTGTTTGTTACTAACGTGTATCCATTTAAGTGGAAGGTATTAAAATCACCTCAGTGAGCCAAACACTGTTTATCTATGGCACATCCTCTTACAGCTGTTGATTGAGTTAACAGATTGGGAAATACACTCTTCAAGCATCACATTTAATTATTTGTATTGACATACTGTAGACAAATCAAGTCGGTAACCCAAATATCTCTGGGCATATGAGTTCTAATCAACTTTTATAATACAGTATGTGCATTAGAAGGTTGAGGTTTTAGAACCCACTTTGTACATTATGAAATAGAATAGAAATAGCGTGTCATTTTCTCTCCATGCCTCTGTAATATTGAGGTTAAAGTCATCAAAGGTGGGAGGCCATCATTTGATGCACACATTGATCTTTTGTCACTCGTCATCTTTTCGTCTCTGTGGAGGTCGAAGTGAAGCCCACCTAAAGTCTAGTTTATGCTTCTGCGTTTTCAGAGCACCGCAGACGCAAGACCCCCTTCCGTGTCCCTTGCGTGCCTTTTCACACCTCCTTGCGTGCGTCGACCCATTTTTCTAGGCTTGCGTTGCTTGCATCGCTTCCGACTCATGCAACTCAAGCCTCCCACAGCGCACCAGGCTGCGATTGGTATGCTACTACATCCGTTACAGAGTTTCACATTTCCGCTTTCATAGCCAGATACCGCCATTATTAAAACGAAGAATGTTTACGAGAGAACGGATCAGATTGAATAACTTTTGTCGGAAGAAATGCGTAAATATGACCACTTCTACAAGCCGTCATTGGCGGGTTGTATGAGCGGGTTGGATTCATAGAGGGAGATCGCCGCAAACGGCGGTTTGCCGGTCGAGAGATGCACAAAGTTGTGGAGGAAAATACGGGACAAATGTGTCCGCGATGAAGAGCAGCAGTGGCGTTGCACTGGGCAATAAAGTCTATGATAAATAAATAAACAAACCATCGACTTCCACACACAAAGACGTGACCCTCTAGGTCGTCTTCGACAGAAACACGTTACTCCGCCTGTTGTTTTGGCGGTGAATTGCTGTGCAACACACGCAAGACTTTTAGAACCATGAATTAGTGATGTGTCGTTCGTGAACAATTCGTTCATTTTGAACGAATCCTTACAAGGACTCGAGAGGAATGAGTCCTCTCAAAAAAAGATTCGTTCATTTTCTCGTGGCCACGCATCGGGACTTGCATAGGCTCAGCCAAGGAAACAGAAATGATTCGTTGAATGCAGGTCACGTGGAAAATGATCCTTCTGCCAACCAAGTGGTATCAGGGCTGAGCCTATGCAGGTCATGTGAAAAATGAACGATGAACGAATCATTGACCCGAAGACTCAGTTGGCAGATGAACGAAACATTAACCCGAAGACACGGTCGGGAGGTGAACGATTCATTCATCTGCCGGATACAGATCTTTAGATCATTTTTCACGTGACCTGCGCTCAGAAGAGGAAACAGAAAGGATTTGTTTACCTCGTTCACTTTCGCGTGGCTAGGTTTAGTAAGACGTGAATGATATTCCTTCACAAGTAATAATTACAGGTTTCGTCATTTTAACTTTTTTGTACTTTACTTCTCTAATCAACTGCGATACTGAAGTACTCACTTAGCCCGTGTGTAGCTTCTTCGGCAAACGCCACTCTTCTTTTCAGTCTGAGCCTCGGACTTTAGGTAGGTAACGGGGGTGAAGTGAAAACCTGGCATGCCGTTATTGTTTCTTGGCAGTACAATGAATGTATTGCTTTCGGTTTGTGCTGTGTTGTAAACAGTGCTGTAGTGGTAAAATTAGAGGTGGGTAAACTCTGAATTTTGTGATCATACAGACCTCGACGCGATGCGAAGCAACGCAACACAAAGCGTCGCGACTCTTGTAAGGCTGTCCTGGCTATATTGCATTATGTTATCAGTAAAAGTCATATACAATCAATGACAAACTACTAACACATGTATTCATTATTACATTTAAGAAAACAGTAAAGAAAAGTATGTCAACACAACACAACAACACAATTTCAGATTAAGAACTATCTACATACGGAGTCTCCTTTTTACAGAAGTGCCCAGAGGGCCTCCTTTTCCTCCACGTCAGGTCCTGCCTTGCAAAGAGGAGCCATGAACCCCAGAACACGTGTTCTGGGGTTCATGGGGTTCTGGGCTCCCTGTGCTCTTTGCATCATTGCCTGTCCTATCACTGCCTGAAAAAATATGTTGAATTTAAGAGTTAACCAGTTAAGCAGCCTGTCAATTACACTGACAACATAAGTTAAAGTAACACTCATGTACTACCTATGTCATCATAAATAGCCTATACAGCATGTTTTTTTTCACATTGAGAACTGACTTGTTTTGTAATCTACGCGTCATCAGGCGTTTTTCTTGTCATTTTACCGTGCACGACCAGCGAACACAGAGCGCGCGACTACTACCACCCCCCCCCCCCCCCTCCGTCAGACCTTCTCGACCGGTCCGCGAAATATTGTCTGACATGAAACCGGTCCGTGAGGTAAGAAAGGTTGGGTACCACTGGGCTGATCCACAACGTGTATGTGTTTACACACCTCCTGGATCCTGATTGTTGTTGCTGCTGCAGCCGCAAGGCACTGATTGGATGCTCACAGACCACAATACAGCGCAGATGAAAAGGATTCAGACTACGGCGTTTATATGTTCAACAATTGGAAACGTAGTTTTAGCTGTTTTAAAATTACACCAAGTTTATTTCGGATTATTCCAACATAAGAATACAAGGCGCAGGGAACTTTGAGGTGCGTAAACGCCACTTAGAGGTGCGTAAACGCTATTTATAGGTGCGTAAACGCTTTTCCAAAATTCTAGAGGTGCGTAAACGGCGTTTACGTGCGTTTACCCTCCACTACAGCCCTGGTTGTAACGTTAAATCAACGTAACGCGCCTGAAGAGACGTGCTAATTCAGAACGCGGTCGCCTCGGTGAGAAATAGCCGAATAGCCTCCGACTGCCCGCTAGCTAGCTCCCAGCGCAGAGCGCTTTCCCACCGTGCGTACCCTATGGTTGAATGCAATTATTGTACGTCGCTTTGGATAAAAGCGTCCGCTAAATGACATGTAATGTAATGTGCGGGGATCAAGTTAGCCGAGGCGGGGACTGCCGTTGTAAAATGCTGTAACTCAGGGGTGTCCAAACTTTTTTCACTGAGGGCCACATACAGAAAAATATGCGAAAGGTTGGGCCACTCACTAAAGTTAAGGTCACCTCACCTCTAGTGTATTAACAGTAATAAAAATCAATCAATCAAATGTAGGTAAATTATGCTTGAGAATTTATTAAACTTAAAGAAAACTGCATACATGAAAACCCATACATAGAAAGATGTGATATCTTTCTATGTATGGGTTTTCATTTTTTGGGGGGGGATTTCGGACAGCGTAGGGAAGTGCGCAAGGTTGAAGTTGCGTAGTTGTGTCTCAAAAAGACGAAGCTTCGCACAGAACGCTTTCATGTGTGCATAAAGTTGTGGTACAAGCTGGTCTTTGCCTTGTAGGCTCTTGTTCAGTGAGTTAAGATGACCAGTGAGATCAACTAGAAAGGCCAAGTCTGCCAACCATAGACGATCACTCAGTTCATGAAGAGGTCGGTCCTTCTCTTTCAAAAACTGGTCAATTTCTGATCTCAGGGAATAAAACCGCTTCAGCACGGAGCCGCGACTAAGCCAGCGCACATCACAATGATAGAGTACGTCCCCGTATTCAGCATCGACATCAGATAGGAAACCTTAAAATTCTCTGTGGTAGAGCCCTCATGCTCGAATTATGTTGACAGTTTTCACAACTGTGGTCATCACATCGACAAGCTGGACTGTCTTGGCACAGAGAGCTTCTTGGTGGATGATACAGTGCAATTTTACAGCCTCGCCTCCACTCTCTCGCACCCTGGCGCACACCATAGATGCCATTCCTTTGCACTCGTCTGTCATAGCGGGAGCCCCGTCCGTTGCAACTCCACACAGCTTGTCCCAGTTAAGTTCCATCTTGTCAATTGCACCTGACCTGACTTGTTGTTGAGCCTGCAGGTTAGCTGCCATTTGCTTGACTTTCGAAACCCACCATCGGCACAGGAAAAACTCCCCAAAAAATGAAAAAACCCTTCCAAGAGGGAAAAAAAGGGAAGAAACCTAAGGGAGAACGTCAGAGGAGGGATCCCACTCCCAGGATGGACAGACTTCAATGGATGCCATGTGTACAGAATGAACAATGTATAATACATGCAATTCCTATGACAGAAATGATTCAAGTAATTGTGAGTAGTAAGCCAGCAGGACCACTGCAGGGGCAACCACCATCAGATAGAACCACCATCTACAGAAGCCTGTGGGGAGTGAGAGCACAGAGACTTTAGGAGAGGGTAATGTTGGTTTACGAGTACAGTAATATGATTAATATCTAAAATAATAATGATGATGATGATGGCAGCAGCAGGCGTCAGCAGGGCCACGGCAGGTGTCAGGACCAGGGTCCAGAAGGAACTACGATCTACAGAGACCTGCTAGGGGAGAAGGCACAAAAAAACTCCCGGAAAGAAGCTGAATTAGTCATGTGCATTAATAAAACGTGAATTATGGTAGAACGAGAGCGTGAGAGAGGAGCTCGGTGTGTCCTAAGAAGTCCCCCGGCAGTCTAAGCCTATAGAAGCTTAACTAAGGGCTGGTCCGGGCTAACCTGAGCTTGATAACTGAAGGCTCTGGCCCCCAGCCTACTTTTTAAAACCATAGGAACAACAAGTAACTCAGCATCTATGGAGCGCAGCTGCCTTGTAGGGCAATAAGGTGTTACAAGCTCTTTAATATACGACGGTGCCTCACCAGCAAGTGCCTTGTAGGTGAGAAGTACCTTAAAATCTATTCTTGATTTAACAGGGAGCCAGAGCAGAGAAGTTAATACAGGAGTGATATGATCCCTTTTATTAGTTGTTGTTAATACACATGCTGCAGAATTCTGAATCAACTGGAGAGGTTTAAGAGATTTACAAGAGCAGCCCGATAACAAAAAATTACAGTAGTCCAGTCTGGAAGTGACAAACGCATGAACTAATTTTTCTGCATCACTTTGAGACAGGAAGTTCCTGATTTTTGATATGTTACATAGATGAAAATAGGCAGTCCTTGAAGTCTTTATATGCGAGTTGAAGGTCATATCCTGGTCGAAGAGGACTCCCAGATTCCTGACGGTGCTGCTGGGTACCAGAGCAATTCCATCCATAAAAACTGTATCACGTGCCAGCTGGCTTCGAAGGCGCTCTGGGCCTATCAGGATAACTTCCGTTTTTTCTGAGTTCAGCATCAGGAAGTTGCCGGTCATCCAAGTTTGATGTCTCCAAGACATTCTTGAAGTCTAACTAGCTGGTCCGTCTCTTCTGGCTTGATCGACAGATACAGTTGAGTATCGTCTGCATAACAATGGAAGTTTATGTGGTGTTTCCTGATAAGATCTCCCAAAGGAAGCATATAGGGGGTAAATAAAATCGGTCCAAGTACAGAACCTTGTGGGACTCCGTGACTAACACGTGGTCTTTGAAGATTCACCGTTTACAAGCACAAACTGGGATCGATCCGATAAGTAGGATTTAAACCAGCTGAGTGCAGTTCCTTTGATACCAATGAAATGTTCTAGTCTCTGCAACAGGATACAATGGTCTATGGTATCAAATGCGGCACTGAGGTCCAGCAAGACAAGAAAAGAGATGAGTCCTTGGTCCGATGAAAGTAGAAGATCATTCGTAATTTTCAAGAGTAGGTTTCTTAAGAAGAGGTTTAATTACAGCTACCTTGAAGGACTGTGGTACATGTCCTGTCAACAAAGACAGATTCATAATATCTAATAAGGATGTGCTAACTAAAGGAAAAACTTCCTTAAGCAGCTTGGTCGGAATCGGATCCAAGAGACAAGTAGAAGATTTAGACTTTGAAAATAAAGAAGTCAGTTGATCAAGGTTGATGGAAGAGAAGGCATCCAAACAGGCATCAGGGTCCACTGCTGCATTAGGACTACAGCTAGTGAGTAGCTCCACCTACTGGTCAAACTAAGAACTACAATATAGTCAAGTGCAAGTTTCATGTGTGGGCCACATTCCATTCTATTTTTAGAATTTGCTGCGGGCCAATAAAAAATGGATCCCGGGCCGCAGTTGGCCCGCGGGCCGTACTTTGGACACCCCTGCTGTAACTCAACTAACCGAAGGCACGACCGACCGGTGGCCGCCTCGTATAGTTACTCCCGAGCACTGCGGCGTCACCCGCGTGTTTCTCGAGACGTGGGAGGCGGATGTCAAGTATTGGAAGTCACCAGGTTAGGCGCGTTATCCCGCGGTAACTTCGTAACCGCGTGACGTAAAGCGCCGGGCGAGGGGGGGAACCGCGGAGGCGGCCGTTGACTGGTCCTCCCACGGCGCTGTGTCCGCCACAACGTCCCCCCTGCGGCGTCGTTGGATGTCAGTGAGTGAAAACGAATGTGTGGGCGCCCGGCACCCTCAGTGGGAGTGGTTGTAGTCCACAGCGCAGGACCACATGTGAGCTGTTTGTGCGACACGCTGCTAACGAGTTCAGCGTAATAGTTATGCCGTGATAATTGAATGCTAGTGTAAAAATAAATGATCACTTCAAATCATCCAGACTGTCTCATGATACATTATTTCAATGCAGGAATTTATCTTACCCCCCCCCCGAAATGAACGAATGACTCGAAAAAAGATTCGTTCATTTTACTGAACGAGATTCAAAGGACCGAGTCGGTAAAATGATCCGAACTTCCCATCACTACCATAAATTGAAACGAGTGCGTCAATGCAACGACGCAGATGCAGAAGCATGCGCCAGCCTTCAGGTTACACTGTGTACCCACTGTATTTCCAATGCTTCGCTTGTAATAATGTTTCCAAGTGATGACTCTTGTGCTCCTGTGAAATTATTTTAAATCTTCCACATGTGACATTTATTACACACACTCTATAACAGATAAAAGGTGTATGATATTTTTTAATTGTTTTGGGGAGTAAGGGAGTAGGTTGGTTCTCAGCGGAAGGACAAGACAGGAGGGGTGGAGATGATGGCTTTACACATTTACACAATTTGTGCAGATTTCTGATGTACATCAAAATATTCGAAGATAATTCATGTCTAATATATTATAGATGTAGAAACTGTTCTGAATCAAAATCATACCTGTTTTTTCCGGGGTCATTTTGACGTAAATTCTATTCATTTTTTTTGTATAGCCCAAAATCGCAAATTGCAAATATACTAGGCTTTACCGTCTGTGCACTGCAACATCCTCTGTCTTGTAAACCACAGAAGTCTGTAGTAATATTGTTAATTGCTGCATTGCACTGCAGCACTTGCTTTAAAAGATTTGTCATCAATATTATATTTTCGCGCTGGCCGGTGAAAATTTCTCAAGTGACAGCCATAGTCATTTGGGAGCAATACACTCACATAAATGGGCTGGTACCAGCAAAGTTGTCATGGTCCGGGTACATTTTTTTGAAGCTTCATTCTATGAATAATAAATTCAAGGCCAGCTGAGCGTTTTATTTGAGAAAAAAAGCGTAAGTAGCACAATTACGAGCACCCTTGACTCTCCATCTTTCTCACACATCTGTAAATAACTGATTCAGGTGGCTTTACGTCCCACTGAAAATCACAGATTATGTTACATACATTTTGTGGGTCATTTTTCACGCTAGTCCAGTGTTACATGTGGTCAGCGCTGCACTAATAATAAAATAGTTCCAATACCTTTTAACCTGTTTTTTTGTGTATATACAACACAAATGTCTGTTATGAGATAAAACTATAATCTACACTGCTAATATCTTCCACATAGTCGATCTTTAATAACACTGTCATGTAGTGGCATATTATATTGCTTTAGTTTTTTTGTCTCTCAAGCAAACCCTCCAAACCGTACAACTATAACTCTGCATGTTTACAGTCAACATTTATTGTTAAGTTTCCCATTGTTGTACAATAAAATCACAAAAAAGTTGTAGGAAAAATGCAGCCACACAAAAGAAAGCGGACAAAAAACATTTTATTCATTAATTTATTTTGTATAGCCAAAAACCAGAAATTCCAATTGGTTTACAATCAGTAGAAAAAACAGTGCAGAACAGTGCAAAAAAGGGAAGAAACCTCAGGGAGATAGGCAGAGGAGACATTCCTCTCCCAGAATTTGGTTGACTTGATGCAAGACACCAAAGTTTCAAAATGAAACAATAGTGGCCTCTACGTTAGAATGTTTCCTTTAAAAATATTTCATCCAATGTAAAAATTGCATGCATTGTTGTCAGATGATTATGCTGAATGAAACAGAATTTGATTAAAGACAGCGGACTGAAACCTCCCCAACAAGTTTTTATAGCTTAAGACATAGTAGAGTACCCGTATTTATTTTTTTCACAAATGTGGGAAAATAAAGGCAATTACAGTTTGATTGAGCCCCAAAAAGATACGTGTCCTTATCAGGTAGACTGTGATTAATTAGCACATGAGCCCCATAGATTAACCCATTAATGAAAATGCGCAAAACTGAAACCGTGGCCATTGATCACTCAGAAAACTCTGGAGAGAATGAAGGCATTTTCTCATACGCGTGCAAAAATACCACAGATTCAAGTGTTTTCTAGTGAAAAAATATATTTATGATACTGTTAAGAGTAATTGTTTTTCACTGTTCAAGACATGTGGCATGATTTCATTAACTTAACATGCACCGTAATCAGTAAAAACGAGATAGCTAGATTGTAGCCAAATGATAAAGTTTAGCATGTGATCTGATGTCTGCCTGCATTATAACTGATCCCTGAACATGCAGAAATGCAGTCATTTGTGTTTTAAACACTCAGACTCAAATACTCAGAAAATCAACAGGATCCCCCTGGTGAAACCTTGTTTTGAGGAGGGCATACTTCACAGCAGAGAGTCTGGTTTGGCACGATTCAGTCCTTAAACCACTTTGTCCTGGAACAAACAAAGAAAGAAAATGTTACAAATTAACACAAACTCATGAGTCAGTCAGACCACAACTGGACTGAACTGGCTTCGAACAGAACTACAACGTTTAGGCGGTCATAATAATTTTATCAAACGATTCACACTGTTCTCAAAACTCTTAGCCCTAATGCTGCAACATTAAATGCCTGCTGTATTAATGCAGGATACACACACAGACGCGTATGCAAATTATAATGTAGCATTGAAGAGCTGGTCAATGTTCATTGGTGGGTTCAAAATAATTAAACTAGTCGTTGGTGACGGCGTGTTGTGACGGGTACTGGTGATTTTAAGAAATATGATCCACTAAAAATAGTAAATTAAAACTATAGTAAGCTTGTTTGCCATTTCTTGTTAAGTCAATGCACACAATGTTAATAGAAAACAGTGCAGCTTCAATTCACAAGAATGACTATCATCATAATTATCATCAGGGCAATGGCATAAAAGCTGCTGGGACAGCACCAGGGCACAATGCTGAATTTCTTCAGAAACTAAGATGTGGCTCTTTACAGAACTGAAAGAGGAAGCACTTTAACAAAGAATCACTTCTTGTGAAAGCAGAGAGCGTATGAAAAGGTAAATAACTGAACTACATGGCATTTGCTGTAATGACTAAAAATAATAAGAAAAGGCATTTTTTTCCTGGAAGAATCAAAGTGCTGACCAAAACCCTGATTTTTTCCACTAACATCAAAAGTTCATTGCTTGCAAAAACAGCTGCACGCAAAGTCAGTGGTGGCACAATGTGAATGCAAACTCAGTTTGAACTGTATTTACAATTTTTTCATCCCTCGGTTTCATAAATATTTTTCAATCTTCAGGTGCTGCTGCTGTTGGTTTTCAAAACCTTTACCCTTTATGACGTTTTTGCCAAACCCCAACTAATTTGCTTGGCTCGCAAGGACGTCCTGAGAACATTTGACAAATCCACAGCGGACCGATTCAGATGCATTACAAAAAAAATCTTCTTACCCATCCACCCTGCTGCGTCACCCACGGGCCCACACGCCTGCTTAGGAATTCACTCATGACACTCTGGATTTTATTTTTCAGCTCTGGCGAGAACTTCTTGACATAAAGGCTGAGGGCCACTGAAGCTCTAATCAGCTGCATCTCTGGAAGCACTTCCGCCTTCTGAGAGACCGGAGTCTGGCAGATGGCCTCCACACCATTGCTAAACGCTGTTTCTAAGGCCTGGGGAAAGATGAGAGAAGTGGTCAAACATTACAGAGCGTAAGGTAAGGAGATCAGGGTAGATGATAGGGTTTCACAAGAAATTATTCTTCCGTTGATTCCCAGTTAACTTCGTTTGAAAGTTTACAGACAGAAAATAAACATTTCAATTCATTGTTGGATCAATCTTAATGTTTTGTTCGATCTCTTTTAAAACTGTCCTGGTTTAATGATTTTCATTGTGAAAACACAAATCGGAAGCATTCCAGATTAGACCATTTTAGCTACAGATTGTACCATTGTTTGAATGTGTGTGTGTCTGAGTGTACAGATATTCTATACTTTAAGTAGGTGTGTAGAAATGCAAGCCGCAGTGCATCCCTTCACTCATAAAAATGTACATAACCTCTGATCCCGTGGATGCCATTAAAATAGAATGAGATAAGATCAACCTTTAATGATCCACTGAGGGGAAATAGTATTGTTCCAACAGCACAAGGACATAAAAGTAGAAAACAATAAGAATTATATAAAGTTAGCAATACACAAATTATTTTCACTGATTGTACCTCTTGTGCTACTGCTTGCTTCAGGTCACCCAGAGCAGCTTTGAATTGAGCGTCAGCATTGAGAGAATCAGCCACAGTCCTCAGTTTATCAGCTATTATAACTGGGTCAAAAGTGTCCTCTGAAAAAAAAAAACACATACATGTGAAGTTTGCACATTCCAAACATTATAGGAGCACAAGAAAGGGAGTTTGTCAGCCTAGCCACCCTGTCGTCGTTGACAACAACAACAACAAGCTGTGGGTGCAGATGGGGGTTGACAGTGACGAGGACCTTTACTGAAGGCTTCAAGTCAAATCCACCTACTTAAGGGGTTCAAATCTAAAACGTGTGAGGCGACAGTCCCACATTGTGCTGCCCTGGAACAAAGCAATTACCCCAAAGTAATGGAACATAACAATTACAATACACCATCAGCTGGTTGCTAAATCTAAAAAGGACCCCCCCCCAATTAACAAAAGAAGATTACAATTCAAAGAAGCTCGATCGGCAAGACCAGGAAATACAAAACAAGAGCACAGGAATAACAGTAAAGTGCAGAATAATGTAAAGTACTTTGATGCTGGAGAGCACAGACGGTGTTGCTCGTTGCCCAGGTCTTATTTGCTAATTATTAACATTCAGAACCATAAACGCCGGCGCAACTCACAACGAGCATGTCAAGCTACCGACTGCACTCGAATAAAATTAACGTAAGTTAAGTGTAGTAATACCTACTACACTACACATCACAGTGTACCACGTTTACATCTGATTTGGTGGTCACCTGTAAATGAACGTTCGCGCAGGTGTCAGCTGACGCACACCGACTGGGCGCAGACGCGTATCACCGGACTCGAGTGCTCTCTGACGGACACACAGACATCAAACTAACCGTCGCTGGCTGATGTCGGGCTGTCAACCTCCAAATAAGAGCCAGAACGTTGAGCGCACACCTCGTCCTCGTCCCCAAGAAGACACTTAACTATTTGATCCGTCTGCCACTCGAAAGGTGCCGTGGGAGCCATTCCGCTCCCTTTCACTTAAGCTAGCTAACTGAGTGAAATGACCCGGAAGTGGTGTCACCCCTTCGAATAAGGAAAGGAGGCTCGGTTGTTGTTCCTTACCCAGTTGCAGAGGCGGCTGGTGTAACCATACATAACTATATATATATATATATGTGTATATATATATATGTATATATATATATATATATATATATATATATATATATATATACATATACACACAACACAACACATATACACAACACATATACGTATATATACATATATATATATATATACACGTATATATATACACGTATATATATATATGTATATATATATATATATATATATATATATATATATGATTCACAAATCATGATACCATCATTAAACAGATAAATGTACTTTCCTGAGGTGCTAGCTTGATGAAAACACTGTTAACCAATGCATTCTTGTGTGTTGTGCGTTTTTAAGCCTTCTCTCAGCCTGCAAACTTTTTAATAGTGAATGGTGATCCCTTGAATAAATACCTTATTTTTCAAGTCGGAAGAACCTCCCTGTGACTCCTGTGTGCATAACAGAACGATCTGGCCATACAGATGGACCAAGCAGACAAGGAGGCCCTGCAAGGGGCAGTTTCCAGTCATGGAGAGTTGTTGGGTCGACACCATCAGATGCTACAGGGACTCATGGATACGCAACAGGCCTTCAGGGCTCAATTAGGGGAGATTGGAAGGAGTTTGGAGAACATCACTGCCCCCTTGGTTCCATCTCCCGATTCGGCTGCTCCACCCGCCCCGCCTCTGGTATTAAAGGAAACGCCTGTCCCACCACCCGAACCACGCAGGAGATCTGGGAAGGTGCAGGGGATTCCTTCTCCAGGTTTCACTCGTATTAGCCCGACAACCCGTCACCTTCGCCTCAGATGAAGCTAAGGTATCATATGTCACAGGACTTTTGCGAGGAAGAGCATTAGACTGGGCCGAGGCTTTGTTGGGAGAAGGAGGGATCGGGTTTGTCACCTATTCCCGTTTTATGAAGGAACTGAGAGAAGTTTTTGACCATCATGTTTGTGCTGGGGACCCTGCTAAACGTTTGCTCATTCTCCGACAGAACCAAAGAAGTGTGTTCGGCTGGGGAGACAAGGAGTTACGAGGTGTTTTTCTACACAGCTTGTCGGAACAGCTGAAGGACAAACTTGCTGTCCGGGACGAGTCTGACTCCCTGGACGCAGCAATCAAACTAGCCATTACACTGGATAACCGTATTCGGGAGCGACGCCAGGAGAGGAACGGTAGGCCCTACACTCCTAAAAGCACCCATTCATTCATCTCGTGAGATTCCCTCCCAATGTTGCTGAGAGCTACAGTTCAAACCCCAGTACCCACGTCCAGTCGAAGGAACCCATGCAGGTTGGTCGCGCTAGCCTCACTCCCTCCGAATGCCAGAGAAGGATCAGAGCGGGTGAGTGTCTTCTCTGTGGTAATATTGGACATTTTCTGACTGCCTGTCCGCTCCGCCCAAAAGACAGGGCTCACCAGTAGCTGTGGGGGTTCTGGCGAGCACTTTAGAGGACCCCTGCAATACCAGGCTCAGAACCCAAATCCCTGCAAGACTTTGTTTAAAACAGCTGTCTCTGCCCTTACTTGCGTTGATTGACTCTGGCGCTGACCAGAGTTTTTTGGACACTGAGGTGGTTTCTCAGGCAGGAATCACTGAACTGAACCACTAGTTCCCCCGGTCCGTGTGTGTGCTTTAGACGGAGGATCCCTAGCCCTGGTCGCCCACCGCACCGAGCCCCTACTCCTTATTTTGTCTGGTAACCTACGTGAGGTAATTCAGTTTTTAGTTTTTTCTCCCCCGAAGACCCCCCTTGTTCTCGGACATCCGTGGCTGAGGCAACATAACCCTCACATTGACTGGACCGCAAGTAAGATCGGTGAATGGAGTAAGTTCTGCCATTCTTCCTGCCTGCAGTCCGCGTTGCCTCAAATAGGGGGCAGTGAAGCTCTCCCGGAGTCGGCCCCTCCTTATCTGTCAGTTGTGCGTGCGGAGTATCATGACCTCGGTGAGGTATTCAGTAAGAGGGCCCTATCCTTGCCACCGCATCGTCGTTATGATTGTGCGATCGAGCTGCTATCAGGTTCCACTTTTCCCTCAAGTCGCTTGTATAACCTCGACCTTGTATAAGTCACGACTTGAGAGAGAGAGAGGCAATGGAAAGAGAGGCAATGTATTAATGACTCCCTGGCTGCTGGCACTATCAGAGCATCTTCCTCGCCTCTGGGGGCAGGATTTTTTTTTGTTAGTAAGAAGGATAAGACTCTCCGCCCATGTATCGACTTTCGGAGCTTGAACAACATCACTGTTAAGAATAAGTACCCTCTGCCACTAATCAGCTCTGCCTTCGAACCCCTACAGGGAGCCACCATCTTTAGCAAGCTTGACCTAAAGAACACATACCACCTGGTACGAATTTGTGATGAAGATGAATGGAAGACAGCGTTCAACACACCACTAGGCCACTTCGCTCCCAATACCTGGTAATGCCTTTCGGGCTGACAAACGCTCCTGCAGTCTTCCAAGCGTTAGTGAATGATGTAAAGGTCGTCGTGGCGCAGGGGCTAGAGAAGGTGTGCTGGGAAGCACAAGGTTGGTGGTTCGAGTCCAGGCTGCCCCATGTTCCATGTCGAAGTGTCCCTGAGCAAGACACCTAACCCCTAATTGCTCCCCGGGCAAAAATGTGAAAAAGCCACGGGTTTAAAGTGTAATGTAAGTCGCTTTGGATAAAAGCGTCTGCTAAATGACTCTAATGTAATGTAATGAGAAATTTTTTGAACCGGTTTGCCTTTGTCTACCTTGATGACATTTTGATTTTTTTCTCGTAACCTCTCAGAACATTGGCTTCATGTACGCCAGGTCCTCCAGAGGTTTCTGGAGAACAAGTTGTTCGTAAAGGCCGAGAAATGTGAGTTTCACGTCAACTCAGTGGGATTTCTTGGCTACATCTTTGAGAGTGGTCAGGTGAGGACGGACCCGGAGAAGATTAAAGCAGTGGCCGAGTGGCCTGAACCCTCCTCCAGGAAGCTGTTGCAACGGTTCCTGGGTTTCGCCAACTTTTATCGACGTTTTATACGGGACTACAGTACAATTGCTGCTCCTCTGACCAGACTCACATCTCCTGTGGTTCCTTTTTGGTGGTCCCCTGAAGCAGATCAAGCTTTTGCCTTGTTGAAGGACCGCTTCACCTCTGCACCCATTCTGGTGCAACCTGACCCTTCGCTACAGTTTGTGGTTGAGGTTGATGCGTCCGATAGTGGGGTAGGGGCTGTCCTCTCCCAACACTCCGGGCCTGGTCGGAAATTCACCCATGTGCATTTTTTTCTCGACGCCTGTCTCCTGCGGAGACCAACTATGATGTCGGTAACCGGGAACTTCTGGCAGTGAAGTTGGCTCTAGAGGAGTGGAGACATTGGCTGGAGGGAGTGGAGATCCCTTTCATTGTGTGGACGGACCACAAGAACCTCGCCTACACCCAGTCAGCGAAGCGGCTGAATTCCCGTCAGGCTCGGTGGGCATTATTTTTTGGCCGTTTCAATTTTTCTATCACGTATCGTCCCGGGTCAAGGAACATCAAGCCGGATGCCCTGTCTCGGCAGTTCGCAGAGAAGGAGTCCCCGAGTGGATCGGATACCATTCTGCCCGCATCGCTGGTGGTGGGAGCGTTGACCTGGGAGGTGGAGGCAGCGGTTCGGGAGGCACAACATGTGGATCCAGATCCTGGCACAGGACCTTCAAATCAGTTGTTTGTTCTGGAGTCAGTCCGCTCTCAAGTCCTGCAGTGGGGGCATGCCTCTCGCTTCGCATGTCATCCAGTGTTACGACCCCCCGGGTGGTCTAGGGGTGAGGGGACCATAAACATATGGGCAGAACCTGGTCGGTTGTAAATGGGTAGTGTTTATTGGCAACCAGAGGTAGACAGGCAGGTAACGACAAACAAAAGGAGGGTGGATGAGGGTGCTGTGAAAAAGACAAACCAAGTTAAACAAAAGAGATCCCCAAAAGGAGGACTGTACCTGAATATACGTTTAAACAAACAGTAGGCGCTTACCAAAAAACACAAAGAGCACAGCACCCACTACACCTATGAAACTAACAGGCACAAAAACTACGTGTGGTGAATCAGTACCGACTCTTGCCCTAACTCCCCCCTTTTGCCAGCCCCGTGCTGGTAAAAACACACGAGATCCAAAACACAGTACTTGACTCAGTTGCACACGAATACACACACAGGAGGCACACAAGTCAACTGGCCATGACGAGCTGCCGCGAGCCACTGGTGGGCTCTCCTTAAGAGCTGGAGGTAAGGCTGAGGTGGCGACGTGCCATTGGGTGCGCTGGGACAGGGTGGACCAATGGGTGGAGCTGGAGTGAACCAGACAGAGCTCCACTGAAACCAGGAAGTAGGCGGGGCTTCAGTCCACAGGGCCGCACAGCCTACTTGGTACAGGCAAGACAAGACAGAAAAATACAAACCACGGTGACAGCCGTGACACTAGGGATTAGTTGGACGTTGTCTCTCCTGAGACAACACTTCTGGTGGCCTACCATGGATCGGGACATGTCCTCGCCTGTCCGGCTTGTGCCCGGGCCAAGACCTCTCACCGACCACCTATGGGGTTGCTCCGCCCCTTACCAACGCCTGGTCGCCCTTGGTCCCACGTTGGTTTGGACTTTGTCACCGGCCTACCTCTGTCTGATGGGATGACCACTATACTCACCATTGTGGACCGGTTCTCCAAGGCAGCCCAATTCATCGGCCTCCCCAAGCTCCCGTCAGCCTGTGAAACGCCTTCATGGTATCCCGGTGGACATTGTCTCAGACCGTGGTCCTCAGTTTATTTCTCAAGTTTGGAAGTCGTTCTGCCACACCTGGGGGCTACAGTCAGCCTGTCATCAGGATTCCGCCCACAAACAAACGGACAGACTGAGAGAGCTAACCAAGATCTGGAGTCTGCGATTTGTTGTGTTGCCGCGTCAAATCCAACTTCCTGGAATACTCACCTAAGTTG